TCAGTTTCAGTGTGATCTTGGATTTACTCCCTGAATTCAGATACTACATTAAAAAGATATTATTGCACGCCAATTATCCTAATGATTAAGACTCTAAAACAATTTATTTAAGGGTATATTTCTTAATTTGTTGGGTCAAGCTCGCAGATCAAATTAAAGATACAAGATAATTATTGTATACTCTTAACTTTAATCTCATTCTAACCTAAAGTGGGATATATAGGAGAGATAGATATTCTGCTTTTCAAACTAATTATTCATCATGGTCCTTTTACTTTTCAATTTTAATATTTGCATCTTCAGCTATAGTCTCCCTTGTATCCCTTATTCAAAAGAAAAAAGAAAAGAAAAGGAAAAAGAAAAAGGAAAAGGAAGTCAACGTTTTTTTTTCCATCAATGCCAAAAGGAGTTGGAAGACAAGGGCCTCCAAAGTGAGTGGAGTATGGCTGTTAAGATCAGGCGTGGCTGGCATTACGGATGCTTGGAGTTGTTGGATCGTCGTGTGTGTCTTTCAAATTCTTGAATTTTGTTGCTGTTCATGAGCTTGAGGATGCCCTTTGCCAATGTACTATGTAATAAGATATTGTTTGGTAATTTAGTGTAGAGGGTTTTTTGATTAAAAGTATATATATGTTAAAATTATTAAAAATCATTTAAAACATTAATTTAATATTTTTTTTTAAAAAAAAGGATAATTAATCACCAAGAACTAAGGGATTTTCTCCAAGGACCCACATCCAATTCTCTTTATGAGATTCAAACACAAGTGAGACCTTCAACCCAACAACTAACATACATGCGACATCATTAGAAGCTAGATCAAAGAATAAAATATGTCGTTTTCTACTTTAATATGATCCTTCTTTTTCAACCAAACTGTTCCTGAATTAGTCAAGGATTAGAAAACAAGTAATGCCCCACTACAAATAATAATATGCTTGCATGAAACTTCATATGGAAGGAGCCTTCAACCTTGACATAATTCAAATGGATAATATCAAAAACAGCTTTCCCCACAATGGAATTTATTGTGTGGAAGTTATCAGAAGCACCAACTCCGCAATGAATTTAATTGTGGACATATATTCACACAACACGAGTAGAGGCTATGGGGATATTTTCTGATGTAGTCAGGCACATAAAAGAAATATTAAGATTGAATAATGTAGAGTGTCTGTGTGTGTATCCTTCCCTTTCTTGAAAAAAATAAAGACAGAGAGAACGAAAAAATGGAAACTACCTTTCAAGAGATTGATTAGTCTTAATTAGATCCATCCATACACGTCGATAATATTAAGAATATTATTCTTCCATGAAACCTGACAAGTATGGGAGGCTTCACCTTTGACAGTACTGCAGATGGATAATATCGAAAATTCCCACAACGGAGTTTTACTGAGTTAGATAATACTAAAAAGTGGAAATAATTAATCCCTGATCAAGACAAGAAAGGATTGTATAAATTTCGTGATATTGGAGTGATTATCATATGTCTAGTTTTAACATCGAGAGATGATTCTTAGATCCAAACACGTCGTTGATCATAAATTTAACTTATATAAGTGAATTTGAGAGAGCATGATCTCTCTTCATGATCAGATGATAGTTAGTGATGATCTCATATTCCACCATTAAACCCGATGGCTCGTGGAGGTAGGCGAAAGTATGTTAGTCTCAGGCGGGCATTAATCATTTTCAATGTATATATCTAGATTATTCTCCTTAGCAGTAGGAGATAAAATTATTGATAGGTTCGTTGATCTTAGGCAAGTGTACATGGTTTTTCCGTGTACAACTTCTCTAGGTTTAGTTCAAAAGAAAATGACCTTTGTTTGAACTTTTTTGAGCCATCGCAACCAAGCTAACAAAAGGGAATTACAAGAAGAGAAAAGGCAAGGATCGAACGTGTGGTAGGTGTCTCTATTATTATCTTTTTGTATGGTGGTGGCTCGTATGGTGATCGATGGTTCAAAATATGGCAAATAAAAGCCAATTGGATGCAAGAAGTAAGGTTGGGTGGACTGTCTATAGGCAAAAGGTCTAAAGGTTGGTGCCTCAAAATTCGTTTTAACTTCTTAATTATAGAGAGAGCGTGGACTTGAGACTTCGATAACCCTTTTTGACAGAGGATTTTCCACCTAATTAAAACTTTACAATGACCTCACTTATGTTTCTTACGAGTAGGCAAAGATTCCCACCCACCGTCCCATAATTCACAAAATTTCAAAGGGCAGCTGTAAAAACTTTAACGGATGTTTTTCATGACAGAAGTAGGATTCTGAAACTTGATGATATATCAATATTGCTGTTCCTCTTCTCCATCTTTCTACCATGGTTACAAGCGGTTCAAGGCTGCGGTTACACCAGAATGGACACCCCGAATATAGACTTGTGTTTTTTTAAAAAAATCTAAAATAATATTATTTTGATTAAGAATCATATATTTTTGTTCATCAAGCATGAGTTAGGTTCTAATTAAGTCGGCAGACCACCGAATTAGCCCACCACACTATACCGAGTCTTGGAGCACTGCTTTTTACTACCATTTGTTGCACGCATGCCCTGAGAGAACTAAGAATATATGTGACAGCAAGAATTATTATATGAACCTTAAGAGCTATGTAGATAGGTGGGACCAAAAATGCCATTTTTCAGTATTTTTTATTTCCTTTTCGTTTATTAGTTTTTAGTACACATCTTCTCCACATTTGCATGCAAAAAAATACATAAATATATATCTGGGGTCTTAGCTTGCTCTCTGCCATTGTCTGGTCATTTTCTTGGATGTCAACTCCAAGGCTACGTCTTGTTCATTTGGAGTCATATGTGTAACTTCAATTTAAGCAACTTCTAGTGCGTGTCGTTTCTCCGATTGATCTATTTATACTTCATTGTTCCGTTACGACTGCTGTTGTTGGGATTCTTTTCTTATGTTTTGTTACGTATATGTTGCTTGCAGCCTGTTATTTGTGCTTCTTCCCTCTAGTTTGTTGTTTCAAATTGGTGTTAGTAAAATGGCTTTCCAGCAAAAAGTAAAATATAAGAACTCAATTATACATCTTCATGATTTTGATTTTAGTAAGTCAATTAATATGAAGTAGTAAGTGTTGGCCGGAAAGTTTTTTCATCTTTTTCTGCCAAGAAATCTAATAAGATTATTAAACCTAGCTTGGTGTGGTGAATTAATCTAAAATCTAGCATTAGCTTTGTTTTAAAAAAATCTTATGTAAGTTAATATGATATAACTTGGTTGATTTAACATTTCAATCCATAACTAGATTAAAATTTTGATTGGCTTTGTTTTTTTATTAAAAAATTAAATAATATTATTTTAATTTTAAAAAATTAAGATAAAATTATTTAGATTTACTCTAATTAAGTTGAATTAACCTGATTAACATATAATTTGATTCTTGAATGGGATTATAAATCTAAGTTTCATTCCTATGAAACCTAAGGTTTTCCAGATTTGAACATCTTGAACATGAGGCATGCGAGTAAAAATCTCAGCTCTTAAATGTTGGTGGAAAGAGTATTTTAATTAACCTCAATTTCCATCATCCACCACCACTTGAGTGTGATGTTTAAGACTTTTAGGGTTCCGCCTTCCAATTACAATGCCTGTCTTGTCTTCACCGTCTTCTATTAAAAAAAATAAAGATTATTTATCTTTGATATTCAAAGTCACAATTTTGACCAAAAATATCAAAAAATAATAATAAGCTTTTCTAAGTTGACTAACTATTCATGAATTAAAAAAAAAATCAAACTAAAGTAACTAGTTCACTAGCTGATCTCAGAAGTGACTTTATTCTCTAGTATGGACTATGGAGAATCTGAAGAGGTGAAATCCACATCAAAGCCAATAAATTAAAATTTTATATAGAGAGAGTTAAGTGTACGCGTGCGTGCGTGTGTGTGTGTGTATCAATGCTTTGAGAAACTCTTCGTGTGAAACTGCGAAAAGTGAGCGTTTAAAGCATGCATAGCACCGTAAGTAATACTAATAAATAAAAAATCTTTAATTCCATAACTATACTTAATGGGAAAAGAATTAATTATTAGATAAATTAATTTAATATTCTTAACACAATATTAGTTTTACAAGTACACTTAAATTAGATAGAAAAAATTAAAAAAAAATGTTTTATATCATTTTTATTTTTAAAGGGTATAAATTTATTTCAAAACTTTCATGTAAACTGATTTATTTTATTTTTTTATTCTTTTTACTCAAACCAAATTCATATATGTATTTTTTCCAATCGTGCAACACTAACCAGTGATATTTGAAGCTAGTACCGTGACAAATAAAACTAAGAAGACAAGTGATTAACCTTGTTATTAATTAATCAACTAAAATTTTCCTAATTAGAAATTTGACTACTATGTTGCCTGGAGAAAAAATGTGGCACTGCATCTTATCTTCTTGCAAGCAGCTGGCATGAGGAACCTTCAGAAGAGTTTCTTGGAAGTTCCTCACACAGGAACTCAAACCATGAATCTAATCTGGGATCATGTCCATAGAAAACAAAGGCTTATACAGTTGTAAGTAATCCTGTCTTATAGAGAAATGGCTAGTTTTGTCTTAATCAAGCTCAACAGTTCGTCTGGTTTGCAATTTCCAAAACTGAACACAGGCTGGCACCTCCCTCCCGTGCATGCAAACCTTACAATATCAGTCTAAAACACCAATATAATATTTGATTTAAGTCAGTCCAATGCCTCCCTCTATCTGAATGGAAGCTTCCTTTGGGACATATTTGGTCCCCATAGCTGTTGCCAGTAATCCTAAGTCCGTACTACAACAAAGGATACTTCGTTGTTCTGTTCCTCGAAATCTGAGATCTTGAACAGGATAGGCTGTCTTCCAAGGTTTTCTATAAAAACCAGGAGTCGATGTGGTCAGGTCACTATTGCCAACTAAAATTGAACCCTCCCTTTCTTTGTTAATCCTCTTGATAAGTACGTACCACACCGTTCTTGTTTCTTTGTTGAAAATGGCACTGCCTAATTTCAATGCTCTCAGAGACTTGCATAACTCTGCCAATGATCTTCTCCATTCACCAGAGATCCAACAAGTTCTTCTCAACCAGAAACAAGAAAAATGGCTTCACGAAGTCTCGGAGTCATCTCTAAGAATGCTGGACGTGTGTGGTATTTCTAAGGATGTTCTTTTGCTTGTCAAAGAACATCTTCTAGACTTACAATTCACATTACGTAGAAAAAGAGTTAGCAAGCCAGATATTAGTACCAAAATTGCAGCCTATAATTTCTACAGAAAGAAGCTAAAGAAAGAGACAATGAAATGCCTGAAATCACTGAAGGGAATGAAAGGCAACAAGTCTGTGACTTCAGATATCTCAAATGTAGACCACAGCATTATCGTGGTTGTTGAAGTACTGAGAGAAGTGAGAGTCACTACCATCACCATTGTTGAATCTTTGTTGTCTCTCATCTCAATTCCATGGCTGGACCAAGGATCAAGTAAAGGGTCTTTTATAAGATCAACGTTTTTGCGAACAAGTGGACAGAGTTTGTACGATTTTTTTGACGAAACAGCACTTCAAACTGCAGATAAAAGACTGGAGGCAGTGGAGATTGCCGTTGAAGATCTTGAAGTTGAATTAGACTGCATGTTCAGGCGTTTGATCCAGACAAGGGTTCTGCTCCTTAACATACTTACCAATTAAGAAGGCAAAGCCTATCCTTAACCTCTTGCGAACTATTCAGCCTATCCTTAATGTTATTAATCTGCAGACCAGTATTCAAGGGATTGCAGGTTGCTTTGCCATGAGTGTATTGGGTGGCCACTAATTACTTCTTGGAGGAAATTAGATATGTAAATTTTTATTTATTTATTTATTTATTCTTCTCAAATAAAAATGTGTGAATCTTCACACAATTTATTCATTTATTCCTTTCTTAATCCTCAGGGGCAAACGATAGGGCATTTCGTTCCCAACTACTTAAGCTGGAGCTTTGCCAATACAATCTCAATTCATAACACACACACACACACACACATATATATATATATATATCCTTGGTGTGAAGATTTTCTACTTCTGCAACTCATCCTCCTTCCTCACGTAAACATTATGAAAAGGAAAATTGTTAATCAACCATTGCAATCCCTCCTTTTAAACACAAGTATTTATCGTACGTAAATATATTAATCTTGGCATTAGACACCGTTAATTATTTTTTTTTAAGAAAAATCCTAAATGGTGTGGAAATTTTACTGCGGCTCTAAACATAAATTATTATAGATTGCGAGAGTGAAATTTACATGGGTATATTATGTAATTAAGAGGATCATGGAGGATATTTTAGTATTTTTCATATTATATTTTTTATTTTTTTATTGAATAGTTGTTGATGTCTGTTATATACGCCTCAGCAAATAGGCAACACTTGTGCCAATAAGGAAGTGCGTAAGACAATTCCCGGTGGTCAAATTTGTCCATCCACCGTATAACTAGATATACAAATATGCCCTCTTCCACATGATATAGCGTATATAGACATATTATAATTAGATTGCTACAAGTAATTGATTGTTTATGTTTTTCCTTTGATTTCTCTCTCTTAATAACTAAAATGCACAACTTTTTTCTATTTGTTTGTTGTTTTATTGTGTCTAGCATAGGTTACCAGACCTAGGAGTCTTGGGTTTGATAACCATGTTTGGTGCTAGACTTAGGCACGGGTCTGGCATGGTTGCTAGACTTAAGCTTTATGGGGTTAGCAAACTTGTGTAGGTGTACCGTGGACCAAAACACAATTCACTGTAGACTTGCATAATGAATTTTTCAAGCTCAGAAAGCTTGGGATGGAGTTAATGCTTTCTTTTCACATAAAGTTAAATTATCATTTTGCTCTTTGATTGAAAAAAATTAAAGCCTTGGTTGTGGGGGTATTTCAATACTTTTCATGGGCTTATTGGTATTGAATATTTTAGCAGGGGTATAGTAGTTTTTCAATGATTATTTGCATAGTAAAAATATTTTTCTCTCCCCAAGGCTAACAGAATTAAAACATGTTACCTAGGGGTTTTTCAACCTTTCATAAATTATTAAATAATTAAAATACATCATTAACCTTGGAAAAGATAAAAAAAAAAAAAACATTTGTATATGAATGTATTTTTTTGGTTTCACACTGTTTTTTGTATAACTTTCTATAATCATGGAGGATATTTTGGTATTTTGATATTGTTTTATCATTTTCAAATTTAAAAAAACATGTTGAACCCATATTTATTTAGATCTAGCAATTAAAAAAAAATCCAAATCACTGCGCTACTAGACTTAAGGTACTTGGATCTAGTATGATTGTCAAATTCAATTCACTTAGATGAAGCTTTGCTACTAGACATAAGGACTTTGGATATAAAAATTTGTTGACTTGATTGATCAATTGATACAAAGCAATCAAGTAGAATAAGTTCAAGTGTTCGATGAGTTGAGAGACAATTGACTAATTTAGGAGGTAAAAAACAATTTCTTTTTAAATTAAAATTTTTTTATATTAATTTAATTTCCTAATTATTTATGATTTTATATCTATAAAAAGAACTTTAATTTAGCATTATCAAGCAACACAAAAATAAAGAGAATAATTAAGAAAACTTAAGAGTTAAATAGATATCATCCTCTCAATCTTCTTTTTATTCTTAAATTTTTTACTTTACATTACTATTTTGATATCATACCACAACTATTATTCTTCCATCTAAAAGCTAGACCTAACTCTTATTCTATTTGAACAGAATTTATTACATTCCTTTTTACTTTCAGAAAGAAAAAAAATCTAATACCATTTCCTGAATTCCACGGTACCAGCTAAGCTGGGACCTTGCCTACATGATCTAAATTCATGAACTCAATCCATGACCTAGAATATAGGCTACCGAGTTCACGTAAGCATAAGTTAGTCGAGAATAGAAAAGCCTTTCAAAACCATGAGTCAAAAGTCAGAAGGCATGCATGCATGGATGCCTCGACCAGTCTACTTTTTGCCATTTATGCTGCTTGTGCTCTTTCAGCGCAGTCGCTCAAGCATCCAACATGCGCAAAATCATTACCCGCAAAGGAGTAGACAAAGGCTTGTTGGACACCCGACAATCAAATAACGAAGCTTAATATTCTACCATGCAACTTGAAAGAAGATTGGAGATCTGAGAATAGGACAATAAATGGATATTCCCATGTCTGCGTTATAGAAATATCATGGTAATGCATCCCTTATGTTGTCTGGTTTATTTTCTTTAGAAAAGGAAAAAAGATGTGCAGTTGTAATAATGTTGATAGACATGCCAGGTCGCCAGCCTATCACCCATTTGACGCCCTTCCAAATGTTTGTGTAATTAACAACAAGATTCAATAGTTGTTTAGGTTATTGTTCCTTTTTCGATTTGCAGAATAATTATGTTGTTTTATTCCAGATTTTTTACACCAATTAAACAAATTCAACTTGCCTAGATCAACCTACAATCTAGACCAATTAAAGTTTAAAAAAATTAGAAAAAAATTGACTAAACTGATCGAAAATTTAACCCAACCCAATCAATTTAGTACTGACTCAGTTAAAACCCAATCATTAATCCATTCTCCTTTTTTTATTTGAAAATAAAATGATCAGAACAATACTCCTTTTATTTTTATTTTTTAAAAAAAAAAATACCCAATCATTAATCCATTCTCCTTTTTTATTTGAAAAAAAAAAGATCAAAACAATACTCATTTTATTTTTATTTAACAAAAAGAATTTAGGTCAATCTCTTGTCAGACTCCAACTGTTTATACAAGTTATTGACATCTACAGGTTATTTAGCAACCAAATCTTGCAAAATGCAATCTGTGATGCATTTCACACGTAAAATCTTCATAATTTCGGCATCTGATGACTAGGCTTCGCTAGTTGAACCTGGATCCTGTGGAGACCTTTTAAAATTCGGTAGGAAAGATATGCAGGAGCCAGAGGCCCAACTAATGAGTCTCAAGCATCAGTCTTGGACACCAGGCAGCTTTATTTAAATTTAGGCCCATGAACAATGTGACACGACGAGCCGATGGCAGTTACGTGTCAAGCATTCCATCAGTTCTAATCGTTTCTTCCATCGCGCAATTGAGAAATAGCAGGCGTGATGTATCATTACCTCGCTGGAAACATTGGAAAATAGTTCGAATTTTTGATACCGTGAAGGGTTTGAGCACAAGGCTGGGGTTTTACCTTGATATGCTACATAGAGAACAGTGGGAAAAGCAGATGATACCTTGCCAGGTACCGAAGACATACTGGGATGAACTGATACAGCATGATACACAAAGAAGTGCCCATGTCTAGAGAAGAATACATACAAACTAAAATCCATGATCACAAAGAAACATGTTAAAAAGGGTTTCAATGTACGCGGCAATCTTTTTCCGCCACCACTTTATTGAAAAGATGAACGAAACAAGGCTCATCAAGACAGCATGGCCAACAACCCATCGACAAATACATTTACGGTTGGCTATTGATCTTCATTCTTCAATGGGATATGCCTGAAATCAGCAAAATAACAGTATGGTTGCCCCATTTCCTTATAAATTCGAATATTGGTAAAATAAATTGCTGATACAAAATCTGAGGACGAAAACAAAATGCTTGTGAAGAATGTCAGATAACTAGAAATAGCTATGATATGCATAAGTAGTGACCACCAAATTAAACTCAACGTTCACTTTCTAATGAAGAACTGAGGTAAGCGGGTAATGGTTAAAAGAACAGAAAACTAAAGAACAAGTATATGCATGATAATGTGAGACAGATTATAATATCTTTTTCTAACTCGTGGTTGTTTTTGTCTTCTTAAAAGATAAGATGACAACTATTTTTTGTTTTTCGATCCAGTGCTTGAGATGTTGCAGCATGCCACTTCCATAAATGGGCTACAGTCTACAAGTCAAGAGAAAAGAATGGCCCCGCCAGTGAATGCCTTCAAAATATTTCACACAAAATCAACCATGATGCCATCCACTTCTTGAAATGGGCAAGATGAAAGTGAGAAGTACATCAACCACATTCAACTACCCGATATGAAATTTCCAAGAAGTGAAACAAATCCTTAGGGACATCAGGTTCAGTAAACAACTTTTGCTTGCATAGAATAAAAGAGGTCCATGATATTGCTTTTCTCCTCTAATCAATGTCATTGAAAAAAAATCTTAATCCTCATCATAAAAATCAAAGCCATTTACCGCCCACTAAGTTAAAGTAATAAAAAAGATTACCAAGTTCTTGTTACATAATGGCTGGCAGGATTTTGAAAAAAACACTTTGGCTCAAAGGATTAGCAGGGGATCAAAAAGTATGCCTCGAATGAGGATATCATTTTAGACAACCTGATTTATATCAACAAGAAGTGCACGATTTTCCTATAAATACCAATTTGTGAGCAAAATAATTACAATGGCAATAAATCCATATCTAAAAGCTCCATATCTAATTTATATAATCATACAAATCCTTTTCGGTCAATCTAACAATGCTAACATGGCTCTACAACAAGCATCCCCACATATTTTCCCAAGAAAATCCAAATATTAGCCTTCAATCAACAGTACTATTCCTAAGATGGCATAGCTAAACAACACAGATCCTTTAGATCTCCTCGTGACTGAAAAATGGACACCAAATTGATCTCCAGTTTTTATATCATGCAATAAACACCCTTCCAGAACAAAAATAGTTTTAAATTTCATTACAGATATAATTGGTTTTGGACACACCTGCTATCGGCAAACCAATTCATGACGAAAATAAAATGATAATTTTAAGAATAACAGGAATATCTATCAATTCCTTCATAAAATAAATAAATAAACTGTGAATCCAATTAATAACAAGATACTATAACAATTGGCGTTTTCTCCTTAAACTGACTCGCGATGCAATTTAGTTACGCTACATTCACATCCTCAGCAAAGAAGATAAAAGTAATGCGCGAGAAATTACCTAGTGTCCACTCTCATGGCCATGGTCACCATGGCCCTCCCACGGATGTCTCCAGCCCTGAAAAACACAGCATAATCCCTTCCAGTTGAATTAAATGCCCAGTGCAAATCATTCATAAAGGAAATAAATTTTTCTTTAAAAAAAATCAACTCTTACCAATACTACAGGGCCATCTTGCTTCGCCCTGTAAAGTACCCAAAACCTGAAAACACAAATTACAACAAAACCCCAACAGTCAGCTTCGTTACTTCAGATCAAGAGCAAAAAAATTCCATGATTTTTATTTTTTTTAATTCAACAATCCAGAGCTAACAGTAAACCGAATCGGAAAATTAATAAATTCCAAAATCAGATTAAAACAAGTTTAAGATCAAATCTAGGGTTTGAAGCTGGAAAAGGGGAAAAGCAATGGAGGATAAGAACTAACCACATGACAGCACACAAGCCCTTTCCAGTGACTACATGCCATCGCTTTGGCTTATGCATAGTCAAGCCTTTGTAATTGATGCCCTCTCCATGCCCTCCTGCCATCTCTTTCACTCTCCTCCACCTCTGGAATGATCAATTGGTGCCCAGGACTGCAAGTATGATTTTGTTACCGAGAGCCGTTTGATTTTAGCTGAGTAAATTAAAATTTTAACTCGGAATTTCTTCGTGTGCCGATGCCGCGCCTGACCTTGCCCTGGTGCAAATATTGGACCCATGTAATAGTCTAGGAATGGGCTAGAACCTGTCCAGTATTATATTTGGTTCGGGTCCATTTAATATGTGGGCTTGGTCCTCAACCTTTGGGCCAGACCTTTCCAAAACTACAACGCTCTTCTCGTCTTTCTTTCGATTAACAAATGCCAATTTATTATTTTTTTCCTCAAATAATTTCAACCATTGAATTAAAAAGTAGTTATAATAATTTAAAATTAATTTTATTTTCAAATAGGTCACCATTTTTTTTCCTAGACCATTTTATATTTTTTTTGTATATTTTATATCAAGTCTTCCTCTTGTTTATTTTATAATTCCTTCCATATTCTGTACATGTAGCTAATAAAAAATTTCAATGTCTTTAACTTCATTAATCTTCGACCTGATTTATAATTTTTTATCTTTTTTATTTAATTAATTTTATGATTTTTAAAACAAAATAAAGATAGTTCATATTATATTTTTAGTTCTCCATTCAATTCTCTTTAGTTTTAAATAATAAAAAAAATAGTATCCTAAACACCCTAACTTGTTTTTATATGTATAAAAAGATGAATAGCCTGAAAATATCATTTTCTTATATATATATATATATATAAAAAAAAAAACTTCTAGGTGGAGAATTAAAATTATGATATCAAAATTTGTTTTCAAGATTTTAAGAAAATAGGAGAAAAACTTGATTTCATATAGAAAAGTAAAAACTAAAATTAAGAACACAGTGACTAATTTTGTTACACTATAAGTTCAGGGATATTTGGCCAGTTTAGAAATTCCACAGTGAAAGATAAAATAGAGAGGAGCTTGATATAATTTTTTCTTATTTTTAAAAATATTTTTTTTGAAAAAAATATTAAATTAATTTTAATTTTAATTTTAATAGTTTTTATATAATAATAATAATAATAATCTATTGTAATAAAAAATTTATTTTAAAAAACAATCACTGTTATATCAAACAATTCATATCATTGACCTGATTGTAATTGGTCTCGGACAAGAACGCGGTTAGAAACAGCACGCAAAAGGACAAAATATTTGCACGTGCACAACATTATTCGTCATCTAAGCAACATGGTGTCACGTGGATAGAAACATATCCTCGCATGTTTTTTTAATTAACCATCTAGTTCTCTCACCCATGAATTACTTATAATAATATAAATCTCGCACTAGATTAAAGTATTTTATGCCTATTAGATTAACCAAATCTAATCTCATTTCATGTTGGTTTTTTTTTATATCTTTTCTTCTCTTCGTTTGTGCACATATTATTACTAAACTCGGCTTCACAGATGAATCTAGTATCTAGCTATTTTACTTTTTAATATGAATTAAATGCAAAAAAAAAATTATAAAATCAATCCAGTTAACTCTTAGAATCAAAACTTGTTAGTTTTTTAAAAAATTTAAAATAAATCAAATCAATTTAAATTAACATGCCGGCAAAATCATGTGTGTCAATGATAATAATAAAAGACTACTAACAGCACACAAATAGATTAACAAAAAATAATTAAGAAGTTAAGTTCCTAAATGATGCAAACCCGCAAAGATTAGGATATTTATTGCCTGTCGAAGAATTCATGTCTGATGAGATTTTCCTTGAGCGGACAGCACGACGTTAAACAAGAAGAATCCACGTGCAGGTGTTGCGTTTGGCTTTACTCGTGTATAGTCTACATACAATTTATTAGTAGAATTGGGAGGATGGACCTTTTCTACAGATCTTCAATCTGCTCTGTTTACAATTTCTTAGTCCAGTACGTTCCAGCTCGAATATGACTGGCAATTCAACGAAACGGCAGGGGTGCTACCAAACTTTAAAAAAAAAAGAATTGCAGGCAATGTATTTTGTAGCTTGAATGGCGATGCTAATGGGGAATTTAAAACTCACTAGCATGTGGCTTTCTATAGACACTTTTAGTGCGCAGGTTTTTAATTAATTTCATTATAACCTATTAGGAATCGCCTCTATCTTGTACCCATTTAAAAAAACAAAATAACATAGAACAAATTTCATCGCGTTAAAGATTTCAGGTCATTTCAAGCATAAAATTTTGGTTAATTTCATTCTAATCTATTTGGAATAGCCTATTTCTATATCTTGTACCCATTTAGAAAAACAAAATAACATGGAACAGATTTCATAGCGTTAAAGATTTCAGGTCATTTCAAGCATAAAATTTTGGTTATGTTCCTTCATTTTGTTTGGTGAATAACTTTTTTGGTTTTTTATAATTCAATTCTTCAACAATTTAGTTTGATAGTTAATTTATTTTATATTTTGTTATGGTTTGTTTTTTTAGTAATTATCTTAATCAACATGGTTTGGCATGTTAATTAAGTTTATATTTATTTTTTATTTATTTTTTTAATTGATAATTCTTTTTAGATTCATCATTCAACATTTTCAATATTTGATTGATTATTAGTCAAATTTTATTATTAGTTTTAATTTATTTTTAAAAAAATTATTTCAATCTCATAACCTAAATCATGAATTTTGTGAATTGACCCTAATAGATTTAAATTATCTAATTGTGTTGTTTTTATAAATTTTTTTATTTTATTACTCAATAATGAGTTTATTAGAAATGTAGTGCAAACCAATGATCTATTGGATGCTAAATAAAAATGTTTAAATTTTAAAATTATATTTAAATATTTAATACTATGCTTGACATTTAAATTGCATAATCTCAATTTAATTGATTTTTTTATTTAAATTAAAATTATACATGTTAAATTAATATTTTGAAATTTATATATATATAAACATATGATCTCGAAATGACAAGTCAAATACTCTAAATAGAAAATCTATTAATTAAATTAAAAATTATACTAAAACAAAATTAACTATAAAGATGTTTGAGATTTAAAAAAAATATTTAAAACAAATTATTTTTGTATTTGGTAAGCCAAGTATTTCAAATTAAAGAAAATCATTAATATCCTGGACATTAAATTGCTTTGAAACCTAGGGTTTTGGTATTGTGATTTTTTCTTCCTCACTCACGTGCACGCATCATTTATATGAAGTTAGATAATGCACCCTCGTTTTTATTAATAATTACACAAATATTCTAAGTAACTAGTACTTGTGTTCCTAGAATATAAATTTAAACCATTAATACATGTTTGGTGACTTTAATTCAGTACCAAGATAGTATTATAACTTGTTGGTGTATGTATTAATTTACTCCATAACAACAACAACATTAATAATAATTCCACACAATTAAATTTACTATTGATTCGTTTCAGTAGATTGCTTTTAAACACAAATTAATACAAGTGTTGCATTGAAATAAGATCAGTATATATTTAATAGATCTAGGAATTATAATTCAATGTATGTAAACACAAATTAAAACAAGTGTTGTCAATCTTGTTTAGCTTATAAATAAGACTAGAAGGATTACAAGTTATCAGTTAATTTTAAATCTATTCACATCGAGTTTCGTAAATAAATTGGTTGATTTAATTTTAAAAAATAAAGTCATTGGAATCATGCATATCTTTATCTTAATAATAAAAAAAAATTATACTATCAATGATCTCATTTTCAATAATACGTCCAAGAAATACATCTAAAATTTATAGACCTACCACACCACCACCATGGAGCTTCCATTCCAACTAAGATATCTACGGGATTAATTCTAGAAGAAATTCAAACCGACCGAGTAAGTTTTAGTATTAGTAGACAGATAGTATTGTGCTGAGAATCCAAAAAGAACAGACAAAGATGCAAGAGCAATGTCTTAACTTTAATCCTTATAGTTTAGCAAAACTAATCAATTAATCTTTGAGGTTTTAAAATATATATTTTAAGCCTTTATATTTTTAATTTGTTTATAATTTAGTCCTTCTATTAATCCCATGCTTCCCTTTTCATTTAAGTTTATTCAATGCTTCATGAAAAAAGGTTAAAGAAAAATAAGTAGGTGAAGAGAGGAATCAACTACTAAAGTCTAAAAATGTGTTTGATATTGTGGATATTTTTACTTATATAATTTAAATAATTTGTTTTAAGAGAGGAATCAACTACTAAAGTCTAAAACATGTGTTTGATTTTTACTGTTATAATTTAAATAATTTGTATAAAAAAATATTTTTAGTTGTGATTTTTTAAAAAATAGGTTTTAAAAAATATAAAATGAGTTAAAACAGATCTTTATAAATAAAAAATAAATTATTTTAATTTTTCTGGAACCAAGATTTGAAATGGCCTCTAAGTTTTTTCTTTTGAATCCAACTGCAAAAAAAAAAAGTTATTTGATTAACTAGATAATCTTTTCTTTATGGTTGAACAAAAAACAGAAACTATTAGCATACTAAACAGTCTCTAAATTGAAGATGATTAATACCAATCAAGGGACTATTTAACAATTTATGATACTATAGAGATTTATTAATCAATTTTGATAAACTACAAGGACTAACTTTAATTAATTAGCTAAAATTGTCGGCCATCACCATCGTCATTGACAGGTGACGACCTGTGCATAAAGAGTCCTCTTTCTGCCGAGAGAATAAAGAACCACAACAGCCAGTAGCTAGATTTGAGAGAGATCTTGCTCAATAATTTAGCAGCCATGGCAGACAACAACAACCTCACGATCGACCCGAGAAGCGGCTTTTGCAAATCAAACTCTGTTTTCTACAGCAAACGCAAGCCAATCCCACTCCCACTAACTGACTTCCTAGACGTCACCACCTTCATCTCCTCCCGTCCTCACCACGGCAAAACAGCCTTCATCGACGCAGCTACCGGCCGCCACCTCTCCTTCAAAGACCTATGGAAAGCAGTAGATTCCGTTTCCACTTGTCTCTACGACATGGGAATCCGCAAAGGCCACGTCATCCTCTTACTTTCTCCGAACTCCATCTTCTTCCCCATCGTTTGCCTCTCCGTCATGTCTTTAGGCGCTGTAATTACCACC